CGAGCAGATGTGCTCTCTGCTGAAGGCGCTGAAGGAGACCATATTGAATACTTCATACCCAAGACTCTACTACAAATTAGAGGTATTGTCAGGCAACATCACCGTGACAAGGTAACTGAGGAAAGGAGGATAGAAGCACAAACCAGTGAATCTGTACGATGGTACAACATGGTTGCTGCTGCCAATCCCAATCATTGCAGCTGCCAATCCCAATCATTGCAGCTGGCAATCCCAATCAATGCAGCTGGCAATCCCAATCATTGCAGCTGGCAATCCCAATCATTATGGACGAAAGGAAGGTGCCTGTGGGAGTCAGTAATGGCAAGAATTCGTCTTGAATACAAATACTCGTGGAGTTTCGGGGTAGATTCAAGTACGTTTATTGAGACAATAAGATATGTCTCAAAGGGATAGAGTAGCTTAGGCTATTTCTACTCCTCCATTCAGGATAGAAACCACAGCTGAGCAGTGCAGCTGCAGAATCTGTGGTGAGAGTGACATTAGAGATTTCTGTAGAATAATAAACCCCACATTGTTTGAGTTAGAAAACCAGTTTGTCTAATGTAGATAATGTTCTTAAAACATTCCCTCCACCTGGAACTTGCAAGATAAGGTAGATTTAGTGGTTGGTAAATTTTAATCTTCTTGTTTGATAAGCTGTTCACTTGAGACAGTTAAGCAAGTCCCAGCTGTGTCTGGGTACAAGTGACAGGATGAACAACCCAGCGGGTTTTCTTCCTATTGGGGAGTGTTGTACATGCTGCTATGGCGGTGTGTCCACTCACAGGATGAGTGGCGCTGCCCAATACTGTCACTATGGCGGTGTGTCCACTCACAGGATGAGTGACGCTGCCCAATACTGTCACTATGGCGGTGTGTCCACTCAGAGGATGAGTGCCGCTGCCCAATACTGTCACTATGGCGGTGTGTCCACTCACAGGATGAGTGATGCTGCCCAATACTGTCACTATGGTGGTGTGTCCACTCACAGGATGAGTGACGCTGCCCAATACTGTCACTATGGCGGTGTGTCCACTCACAGGATGAGTGACGCTGCCCAATACTGTCACTATGGTGGTGTGTCCACTCACAGGATGAGTGGCGCTGCCCAATACTGTCACTATGGCGGTGTGTCCACTCACAGGATGAGTGACGCTGCCCAATACTGTCACTATGGTGGTGTGTCCACTCACAGGATGAGTGGCGCTGCCCAATACTGTCACTATGGCGGTGTGTCCACTCACAGGATGAGTGACGCTGCCCAATACTGTCACTATGGCGGTGTGTCCACTCACAGGATGAGTGGCGCTGCCCAATACTGTCACTATGGCGGTGTGTCCACTCACAGGATGAGTGGCGCTGCCCAATACTGTCACTATGGCGGTGTGTCCACTCACAGGATGAGTGGCGCTGCCCAATACTGTCACTATGGCGGTGTGTCCACTCACAGGATGAGTGGTGCTGCCCAATACTGTCACTATGGCGGTGTGTCCACTCACAGGATGAGTGGCGCTGCCCAATACTGTCACTATGGCGGTGCGTCCACTCACAGGATGAGTGGCGCTGCCCAATACTGTCACTATGGCGGTGTGTTCACTCACAGGATGAGTGGCGCTGCCCAATACTGTCACTATGGCGGTGTATCCACTCACAGGATGAGTGACGCTGCCCAATACTGTCACTATGGCGGTGTGTCCACTCACAGGATGAGTGACGCTGCCCAGTACTGTCACTATGGCGGTGTGTCCACTCACAGGATGAGTGGCGCTGCCCAGTACTGTCACTATGGCGGTGTGTCCACTCACAGGATGAGTGGCGCTGCCCAGTACTGTCACTATGGCGGTGTGTCCACTCACAGGATGAGTGGCGCTGCCCAATACTGTCACTATGGTGGTGTGTCCACTCACAGGATGAGTGGCGCTGCCCAATACTGTCACTATGGAGGTGTGTCCACTCACAGGATGAGTGACACTGCCCAATACTGTCACTATGGCGGTGTGTCCACTCACAGGATGAGTGACGCTGCCCAATACTGTCACTATGGCGGTGTGTCCACTCACAGGACGAGTGGTGCTGCCCAATACTGTCACTATGGCGGTGTGTCCACTCACAGGACGAGTGGTGCTGCCCAATACTGTCACTATGGCGGTGTGTCCACTCACAGGATGAGTGGGGCTGCCCAATACTGTCACTATGGCGGTGTGTCCACTCACAGGATGAGTGACACTGCCCAATACTGTCACTATGGCGGTGTGTCCACTCACAGGATGAGTGACACTGCCCAATAAACTCACTTTCCCTTTTTTTAAACCACACTCCCTCCCCCTAAAACATCTCTCCCTCTCTCTAGCCCTCAGTGCCTCCTGCATTCCATCATTCTGTGCCTCCCTCCCTATCATCCATCACAGGCTCCGTCCCGCCAGGGGTCAGGGGTCAGGGGTCACTGGGAAGGGGTTACCTTTAGACGACACTCTAGTTCTTCTCTACTCTGTCGCCTCCAGACTGTGTCACACTGACTGTGTCACACTGACTGTGTCACACTGACTGTGTCTCACCCCCTGTACTCACGTATAGGTGCTTGCAGGGTGGAGCTAGGCTCCTGGTCCCGACTTCTGAGCCCAGCTCAATGGTCAGTCCACTAAATTAGTCAAACCGGGAAGACTATTTTAGTTAAAAATATATTGATACATATATTTTGTCCCCCGACATATATTAAAATATATGTCGGGGGAGTGATCCGGGACACTCAGAGTGAGTGACCGTTGTCAGGGAGTGACCCAGGACCCCCACAGTGAGGGACCGTTGTCAGGGAGTGACCCAGGACCCCCACAGTGAGGGACCGTTGTCAGGGAGTGACCCAGGACCCCCACAGTGAGTGACCGTTGTCAGGGAGTGACCCAGGACCCCCACAGTGAGGGACCGTTGTCAGGGAGTGACCCAGGACCCCCACAGTGAGGGACCGTTGTCAGGGAGTGACCCCCAGGACTGTGTCCTTGGGCCTCTGCTGTTTCCCATACAAGTAAAGTATCTACACCAAGACCTGGGCTGCAGTACCTGCAGGCTGGCCACAAATAGGGCGGGAAATCAGAACAAATGGTAGTAAATAGGGGCCAGATTCACGAAGCAGTTACGCAAGCACTTACGAACCTGTACATCTTTTCTCAATCTTTGGCGGCTTTGTTTACAATTATTAAACAGTTAATGAGCTCCGAAGCACCAGGAGGCTGTTTATAACAATAACAACAGTTGATTGGCAAGTTTTCATGCTTGTAAACTGTTTAATAAATGTAACCAAAGCCGTCAAAGATTGAGGAAAGATGTACACGTTCGTAAGTGCTTGCGTAACTGCTTCGTGAATCTGGCTCTAGGCTTTTAAAGTGACTTAAAGTTACCATATATCAGCAGGAAATGGGGACTACTAACATGGTGCTAAATATAATTACAAAATAGAACACAAAACAATGAATACAGATAAGGATAAGATTAGCTTGAGAAGACCTGGGTAAATACTGGTCTGGAAACATGGTTGTAGATTTATGGAACAAATGTCATAGATGTAAATCTATTATATGATTTACATCTAATATATATTACATCTGCCCCCGTGCCTCACAGCAGGGGTATGTAGGTGTGCCCAGGTGAGGCATGCCCCCCCCCCCCATGGAGGGTCACAGGTGAGGGGCAGCCCCTCACATGGAGGGACACAGGTGAGGGGCAGCCCCTCACATGGAGGGACACAGGTGAGGGGCAGCCCCTCACATGGAGGGTCACAGGTGAGGGGCTGCCCCTCACATGGAGGGTCACAGGTGAGGGGCAGCCCCTCACATGGAGGGTCACAGGTGAGGGGCTGCCCCTCACATGGAGGGTCACAGGTGAGGGGCAGCCCCTCACATGGAGGGACACAGGTGAGGGGCAGCCCCTCACATGGAGGGTCACAGGTGAGGGGCAGCCCCTCACATGGAGGGTCACAGGTGAGGGGCAGCCCCTCACATGGAGGGACACAGGTGAGGGGCAGCCCCTCACATGGAGGGTCACAGGTGAGGGGCAGCCCCTCACATGGAGGGACACAGGTGAGGGGCTGCCCCTCACATAGAGGGACACAGGTGAGGGGCAGCCCCTCATATGGAGGGACACAGGTGAGGGGCAGCCCCTCACATGGAGGGTCACAGGTGAGGGGCAGCCCCCCACATGGAGGGACACAGGTGAGGGGCTGCCCCTCACATGGAGGGACACAGGTGAGGGGCAGCCCCTCACATAGAGGGACACAGGTGAGGGGCAGCCCCTCACATGGAGGGTCACAGGTGAGGGGCAGCCCCTCACATGGAGGGTCACAGGTGAGGGGCAGCCCCTCACATGGAGGGACACAGGTGAGGGGCAGCCCCTCACATGGAGGGTCACAGGTGAGGGGCAGCCCCTCACATGGAGGGACACAGGTGAGGGGCTGCCCCTCACATAGAGGGACACAGGTGAGGGGCAGCCCCTCATATGGAGGGACACAGGTGAGGGCAGCCCCTCACATGGAGGGTCACAGGTGAGGGGCAGCCCCCCACATGGAGGGACACAGGTGAGGGGCTGCCCCTCACATGGAGGGACACAGGTGAGGGGCAGCCCCTCACATAGAGGGACACAGGTGAGGGGCAGCCCCTCACATGGAGGGTCACAGGTGAGGGGCAGCCCCTCACATGGAGGGTCACAGGTGAGGGGCAGCCCCTCACATGGAGGGACACAGGTGAGGAGCAGCCCCTCACATGGAGGGTCACAGGTGAGGGGCAGCCCCTCACATGGAGGGTCACAGGTGAGGGGCAGCCCCTCACATGGAGGGACACAGGTGAGGGGCAGCCCCTCACATGGAGGGACACAGGTGAGGGGCAGCCCCTCACATGGAGGGACACATGTGAGGGGCTGCCCCTCACATGGAGTGACACAGGTGAGGGGCTGCCCCTCACATGGAGGGAACACCTACCCAGGGGGTCCCAGAGCACAGTTAAATTATCTCTCACCTTCTTTATGGCTGGTGTTGGTCTCAGTGCTGCCGCCACGACCCTTGCGACGACCCTGGCGACGACCCTGGCGACGACCCTGGCGACGACCCTAGCGACGACACTGGTGACGAGTGTGACGACGACCCTGGCGACGACTGTGACGACGACCCTGGCGACGACCCTGGCGACGACTGTGACGACCCTGGCGACGACCCTGGCGACGACTGTGACGACCCTGGCGACGACTGTGACGACGACCCTGGCGACGACCGTGACGACGACCCTGGCGACGACCCTGGCGACGACCCTGGCGACTGTGACGACGACCCTGGCAACGGACGACCGTCTGGCGACGACCCTGGCGACGAGCCGATGATGATGGGGACGAGAATGACGTTGAAAACGATAACGGTATAAGTGACGAGGGTGTACACGTCACACTGTAGCGTCTAAGGTGACGAGGGTGACCACGTCACACTGTAGCGTCTAAGGTGACGAGGGTGAACACGTCACACTGTAGCGTCTAAGGTGACGAGGGTGTACACGTCACACTGTAGCGTCTAAGGTGACGAGGGTGTACACGTCACACTGTAGCGTCTAAGGTGACGAGGGTGACCACGTCACACTGTAGCGTCTAAGGTGACGAGGGTGTACACGTCACACTGTAGCGTCTAAGGTGACGAGGGTGAACACGTCACACTGTAGCGTCTAAGGTGACGAGGGTGTATACGTCACACTGTAGCGTCTAAGATGACGAGGGTGAACACGTCACACTGTAGCGTCTAAGGTGACGAGGGTGAACACGTCACACTGTAGCGTCTAAGGTGACGAGGGTGAACACGTCACACTGTAGCGTCTAAGGTGACGAGGGTGAACACGTCACACTGTAGCGTCTAAGGTGACGAGGGTGTACACGTCACACTGTAGCGTCTAAGGTGACGAGGGTGAACACGTCACACTGTAGCGTCTAAGGTGACGAGGGTGAATACGTCACACTGTAGCGTCTAAGGTGACGAGGGTGAACACGTCACACTGTAGCGTCTAAGGTGACGAGGGTGTACACGTCACACTGTAGCGTCTAAGGTGACGAGGGTGTATACGTCACACTGTAGCGTCTAAGGTGACGAGGGTGAACACGTCACACTGTAGCGTCTAAGGTGACGAGGGTGTACACGTCACACTGTAGCGTCTAAGGTGACGAGGGTGAACACGTCACACTGGTCCCTAGAAATTTGAACTTTGTCGGTGAAATTTTCACTTAATTGACATGTCCGTCCCTCCGCCCCCCCTCCCCCCCCAAGGGGGGGTATTTCTGCCCCCCCTACACACCCACACCCCCCCCCCCTCTATCCTTGGCGTGGGCATGGGCGGCGACGGGCGTGGGTGGAGGAGGGGTCTACTTCTTCAGCTCCTGGGCCCATACTTCTTGCGGCCAGCCCGTCCGCCCACGTTTGGACTCAGGGCTGGCTGTGGGCGTGGTGGTGGTGGTGGGCGGCGTGGGCGGCGACAACCTCTGCAACACAACAATCACCAGTTAGTACGCACAATACAATTGCATACAATATACAATCGCATACAATATACAACACAGAGAGTAGGACATTAATTTCAGTTTTGTTATCCGATAGTTGGTTTGGTATAATCCTTATATATCCGCTGTTATACCCACTGATATACTCTGCCGCCCAGTTGGGTGGCTGTGGAGCACATGACTGTAAAGCTGCCGCCCAGTTGGGTGGGTGTGGAGCACATGACTGTAAAGCTGCCGCCCAGTTGGGTGGGTGTGGAGCACATGACTGTAAAGCTGCCGCCCAGTTGGGTGGGTGTGGAGCACATGACTGTAAAGCTGCCGCCCAGTTGGGTGGGTGTGGAGCACATGACTGTAAAGCTGCCGCCCAGTTGGGTGGGTGTGGAGCACATGACTGTAAAGCTGCCGCCCAGTTGGGTGGGTGTGGAGCACATGACTGTAAAGCTGCCGCCCAGTTGGGTGGGTGTGGAGCACATGGCTGTAAAGCTGCCGCCCAGTTGGGTGGGTGTGGAGCACATGACTGTAAAGCTGCCGCCCAGTTGGGTGGGTGTGGAGCACATGACTGTAAAGCTGCCGCCCAGTTGGGTGGGTGTGGAGCACATGACTGTAAAGCTGCCGCCCAGTTGGGTGGGTGTGGAGCACATGACTGTAAAGCTGCCGCCCAGTTGGGTGGGTGTGGAGTACATGACTGTAAAGCTGCCGCCCAGTTGGGTGGGTGTGGAGCACATGACTGTAAAGCTGCCGCCCAGTTGGGTGGGTGTGGAGCACATGACTGTAAAGCTGCCGCCCAGTTGGGTGGGTGTGGAGCACATGACTGTAACGCTGCCGCCCAATTGGGTGGGTGTGGAGCACATGATTGTAAAGCTGCCGCCCAGTTGGGTGGGTGTGGAGCACATGACTGTAAAGCTGCCGCCCAGTTGGGTGGGTGTGGAGCACATGACTGTAAAGCTGCCGCCCAGTTGGGTGGGTGTGGAGCACATGACTGTAAAGCTGCCGCCCAGTTGGGTGGGTGTGGAGCACATGACTGTAAAGCTGCCGCCCAGTTGGGTGGGTGTGGAGCACATGACTGTAAAGCTGCCGCCCAGTTGGGTGGGTGTGGAGCACATGACTGTAACGCTGCCGCCCAATTGGGTGGGTGTGGAGCACATGACTGTAAAGCTGCCGCCCAGTTGGGTGGGTGTGGAGCACATGACTGTAAAGCTGCCGCCCAGTTGGGTGGGTGTGGAGCACATGACTGTAAAGCTGCCGCCCAGTTGGGTGGGTGTGGAGCACATGACTGTAAAGCTGCTGCCCAGTTGGGCTATTTATTTTATTATTATTATTGATTGATTTATATAAATGTATGTATTTATATGCGGAAAAAACCACAAAGAAATAGCGGAAGAGAGATGAACGTTTCGGCCTGTTAAAGCGTTTGTCAACACCAGACAAAGGCTTTAACAGGCCGAAACGTTCATCTCTCTTCCCCCATTTCTTTGTGGTTTTTCCTCATATAAATGATCAGTGTTTAGTGATCGTCAATTGCATGTATTTATATATATATATATATATATATATATATATATATATATATATATATATATATATATATATATAATATATATATATATATATATAATATATATATATATATATATATACACAATTGTTTCACAAAAAAATATACAAGGGCGAAGGCCTTGCTGCTACCCCCCCCCCCCCACATTTTCCCATCCCCCTCTCACATCCCCCCACCCCCCTTACCCCCCATCCCATACCCCTCCACCCCCTCACCCCCCACCCCCCCACACCCCTCCACTCCCTCACCCCCCTCCCCATACCCCTCCCCCCCCCCACACACCCACTAAGCTAGCACACATACACGACACACCACACGTGCCACACACATACACGACACACCACACGTGCCACACACATACACGACACACCACACGTGCCACACACATACACGACACACCACACGTGCCACACACATACACGACACACCACACGTGCCACACACATACACGACACACCACACGTGCCACACACATACACGACACACCACACGTGCCACACACATACACGACACACCACACGTGCCACACCAACACTGCAACACGCTAGGACTCTGCACCTTGTGCAGCAACCAACCGCAACACGGAAGTGGACACGTCTGCAACATGACTGGAACCGGAGCTAAGAGGCTTAAGCTATGAGAACAGAATAGTGGAACTACATCTCACAACCGTAGAGTATAGAAGGCAAAGAGGAGATATGACCACGACTCACAAGATACTAAGAGGAAATAGTTAAGATGAACAAGGATAGCCTCTACACATTCAGAGAGAGAAGAACGACTGGACACATGTGGAAGTTGGAAACACAGACGAGGCGAAGGAATGTAAGGAAATACTGGTACCGGGTACGGTGGTCAACAAGTGGAGTGTACAAGGAGGAAGGTGTGGAAGCCACCTCCAGCCCCAACCTTAAGGCCACCTTCCACCACGACTGTGAAGGTCACAATACTTATACTATGACACACCAGGTGCAACACCGTTGGTGGGGGGGGGGGAGCTGGACCTCACTCACACGTACTCACTGATAGGCGAGTACACAGGCACGGTTGTAGACATGGTTAATTGACTTCAACTTAGCTAAAGGCAAGGCAATTGGGTTTAGGGAGAAAGCAAGAACTTTCATCGGGCGGCATAAAAAGAAAGGAAACGTCTTGTTTCACTAACACAAGGAAGACTCTCCTTAGGGGGGGAGAGAGAGAGGGAGAGAGAGAGAGAGAGAGAGAGAGAGAGAGAGAGAGAGAGAGAGAGAGAGAGAGAGAGAGAGAGAGAGAGAGAGAGAGAGAGAGAGAGAGAGAGAGAGAGAGCACAGTAGCAGCAGCTGGTGTAGCCTTGAAAGGAATGTGGGAGATCCCAGAGTCCAGATTTCCGTTGCTCCTCCACCCGTCCTCCCTCCGGCACTCCAGCTGGGCACGCTACCCTACACACACACACACACACACACACACACACACACACACACACACACACACACACACACACACACACACACACACACACACACACACACACACTACTGGAGTTTAACACCAGTAAATGTAAAGTTATGGAAATGGGATCAGGTGACAGGAGACCAAAGGGACAGTACACAATGAAGGGGAACAGCCTACCTGTAACGATTCGAGAAAGAGACCTGGGAGTGGATGTGACACCTAATCTAACTCCTGAGGCACATATAAATAGGATAACGACAGCAGCGTACTCTACACTGGCGAAAATTAGAACTTCATTCAGAAACCTAAATGAGGAAGCTTTTAGGGCGCTTTACACTGCCTACGTGAGACCCGTCTTAGAGTATGCCGCGCCATCATGGAGCCCCCACCTGAAGAAACACATAAAGAAACTGGAGAAGGTTCAGAGGTTTGCGACGAGGCTTGTCCCAGAGTTACGAGGGATGGGATATGAAGAGCGGCTGAAGGAACTGAACCTTACGACACTAGAGAAAAGAAGGGAGAGAGGAGATATGATAGGGACATATAAAATACTCAGGGGAATTGACAAAGTGGAAATAGATGAAATGTTCACACGTAATAATAACAGAACGAGGGGACATGGGTGGAAACTGGAAACTCAGATGAGTCACAGAGATGTTAGGAAGTTTTCTTTTAGCGTGAGAGTAGTGGAAAAATGGAATGCACTTGGGGAACAGGTTGTGGAAGCAAATACTATTCATACTTTTAAAACTAGGTATGATAGGGAAATGGGACAGGAGTCATTGCTGTAAACAACCGATAGCTGGAAAGGCGGGATCCAAGAGTCAATGCTCGATCCTGCAAGCACAAATAGGTGAGTACAAATAGGTGAGTACACACTAGGCGGTGGAAACAGGAGGCCAGACACAGGATACAGAATAGGAGATGAAGTACTTAATGAAACAGACAGAGAGAAAGATCTAGGAGTTGATATCACACCAAACCTGTCTCCTGAAGCCCACATAAAGAGAATAACGTCTGCGGCATATGCGAGGCTGGCTAACATCAGAACAGCGTTCAGGAACCTGTGTAAGGAATCATTCAGAATCTTGTACACCACATATGTAAGACCAATCCTGGAGTATGCGGCCCCAGCATGGAGCCAGTACCTTGTCAAGCACAAGGCGAAGCTGGAAAAAGTTCAGAGGTATGCTACTAGACTAGTCCCAGAACTAAGAGGCATGAGTTATGAGGAAGTTCTAAGTGAACTGCACCTGACGTGGCTGGTGTTGGGCCTAAGGCCTATCAACCCCCCGAGGGGGGGGGTGTTAAACTCCCCCCCCCCCCACCCGCCCCCTACACCTTCCTCACCGACCACCAAGTATACTCTCAGTGTATATTATCCCAGAAAGGGAATACACCTCTCAAGTGTATGTGTATTCTTGACAGAGTTATTATATATGTTAAGGTATTGGAGCGGTGGGTGGTGGGCGGTGGGCGGACCATTAAGAGGGCGGCCAGCAGTTAAGGAACATCACACCGACCGACCGACCGACCGACAAAAACCGCCACATAGAAAACGAGGCACCAAGACCAACAGATTATAATGATGGGGAGGCGAAGTGTCCTTACCTATCACTGCTTACCTTAAGGGCACGGGGTATAGCTCCCCATGCCCCACCTTCCACCCCTCAAGGGCACGGGGTATAGCTCCCCATGCCCCACCTTCCACCCCTCAAGGGCACGGGGTATAGCTCCCCATGCACCACCTTCCACCCCTCAAGGGCACGGGGTATAGCTCCCCATGCCCCACCTTCCACCCCTCAAGGGCACGGGGTATAGCTCCCCATGCCCCACCTTCCACCCCTCAAGGGCACGGGGTATAGCTCCCCATGCCCCACTTACCACCCCTCAAGGGCACGGGGTATAGCTCCCCATGCTCCACCTACCACCCCTCAAGGGCACGGGGTATAGCTCCCCATGCCCCACCTTCCACCCCTCAAGGGCACGGGGTATAGCTCCCCATGCCCCACTTACCACCCCTCAAGGGCACGGGGTATAGCTCCCCATGCCCCACTTACCACCCCTCAAGGGCACGGGGTATAGCTCCCCATGCCCCACTTACCACCCCTCAAGGGCACGGGGGTATAGCTCCCCATGCCCCACCTTCCACCCCTCAAGGGCACGGGGTATAGCTCCCCATGCTCCACCTACCACCCCTCAAGGGCACGGGGTATAGCTCCCCATGCCCCACCTTCCACCCCTCAAGGGCACGGGGTATAGCTCCCCATGCCCCACTTACCACCCCTCAAGGGCACGGGGTATAGCTCCCCATGCCCCACTTACCACCCCTCAAGGGCACGGGGTATAGCTCCCCATGCCCCACTTACCACCCCTCAAGGGCACGGGGTATAGCTCCCCATGCCCCACTTACCACCCCTCAAGGGCACGGGGTATAGCTCCCCATGCCCCACCTACCACCCCTCAAGGGCACGGGGTATAGCTCCCCATGCCCCACCTTCCACCCCTCAAGGGCACGGGGTATAGCTCCCCATGCCCCACTTATCACCCCTCAAGGGCACGGGGTATAGCTCCCCATGCTCCACCTTCCACCCCTCAAGGGGGGTATAGCTCCCCACGGGGGGGTATAGCTCCCCACCTGCCCCACCTTCCACCCCTCAAGGGCACGGGGTATAGCTCCCCATGCCCCCACCTACCACCCCTCAAGGGCACGGGGTATAGCTCCCCATGCCCCCACCTTCCACCCCTCAAGGGCACGGGGGTATAGCTCCCCATGCCCCCACCTACCACCCCTCAAGGGCACGGGGGTATAGCTCCCCATGCCCCCACCTACCACCCCTCAAGGGCACGGGGGTATAGCTCCCCATGCCCCCACTTACCACCCCTCAAGGGCACGGGGTATAGCTCCCCATGCCCCCACCTACCACCCCTCAAGGGCACGGGGTATAGCTCCCCATGCCCCCACCTACCACCCCTCAAGGGCACGGGGTATAGCTCCCCATGCCCCCACTTACCACCCCTCAAGGGCACGGGGTATAGCTCCCCATGCCCCCACCTACCACCCCTCAAGGGCACGGGGTATAGCTCCCCTTGCCCCACCTACCACCCCTCAAGGGCACGGGGGTATAGCTCCCCATGCCCCCACTTACCACCCCTCAAGGGCACGGGGTATAGCTCCCCATGCCCCACCTACCACCCCTCAAGGGCACGGGGTATAGCTCCCCATGCCCCACCTACCACCCCTCAAGGGCACGGGGTATAGCTCCCCATGCCCCACCTACCACCCCTCAAGGGCACGGGGTATAGCTCCCCACCCCTCAAGGGCACGGGGTATAGCTCCCCATGCCCCACCTACCACCCCTCAAGGGCACGGGGTATAGCTCCCCATGCCCCACCTACCACCCCTCAAGGGCACGGGGTATAGCTCCCCATGCCCCACCTACCACCCCTCAAGGGCACGGGGTATAGCTCCCCATGCCCCACCTACCACCCCTCAAGGGCACGGGGTATAGCTCCCCATGCCCCACCTACCACCCCTCAAGGGCACGGGGTATAGCTCCCCATGCCCCACCTACCACCCCTCAAGGGCACGGGGTATAGCTCCCCATGCCCCACCTACCACCCCTCAAGGGCACGGGGTATAGCTCCCCATGCCCCACCTACCACCCCTCAAGGGCACGGGGTATAGCTCCCCATGCCCCACCTACCACCCCTCAAGGGCACGGGGTATAGCTCCCCATGCCCCACCTACCACCCCTCAAGGGCACGGGGTATAGCTCCCCATGCCCCACCTACCACCCCTCAAGGGCACGGGGTATAGCTCCCCATGCCCCACCTTCCACCCCTCAAGGGCACGGGGGTATAGCTCCCCATGCCCCACCTACCACCCCTCAAGGGCACGGGGTATAGCTCCCCATGCCCCACCTACCACCCCTCAAGGGCACGGGGTATAGCTCCCCATGCCCCACCTTCCACCCCTCAAGGGCACGGGGGTATAGCTCCCCATGCCCCACCTACCACCCCTCAAGGGCACGGGGTATAGCTCCCCATGCCCCCACCTACCACCCCTCAAGGGCACGGGGTATAGCTCCCCATGCCCCACCTACCACCCCTCAAGGGCACGGGGGTATAGCTCCCCATGCCCCCACCTACCACCCCTCAAGGGCACGGGGTATAGCTCCCCATGCCCCCACCTACCACCCCTCAAGGGCACGGGGTATAGCTCCCCATGCCCCACCTACCACCCCTCAAGGGCACGGGGTATAGCTCCCCATGCCCCACCTACCACCCCTCAAGGGCACGGGGTATAGCTCCCCATGCCCCACCTACCACCCCTCAAGGGCACGGGGTATAGCTCCCCATGCCCCCACCTACCACCCCTCAAGGGCACGGGGGTATAGCTCCCCATGCCCCCACCTACCACCCCTCAAGGGCACGGGGTATAGCTCCCCATGCCCCCACCTACCACCCCTCAAGGGCACGGGGTATAGCTCCCCATGCC